TTTTTTTTTCGGGGTCTAAATTTCCGGGGTTATTTTTTCCGTGGTTATTTTTTCGCGGTACCGGGGCTTACATGGTGTCCCTCATTAAAAATAATAAAAAAAAAAACCAGAACAATTTATAATATATACTATGAAAATATTTATTTAATTATAATTATACATATGTTATAAGACATTAGTTATATTAAGATTTAGGTATATATTTATTTGTATATTTTAAATTAATGGGATGAATGATAACATTCTACTACGACAGTGCGGTGCCCTTGTAAAGACACTATGGTGCAGAGCACAGTTTGGGAACCGCTGTCTTACACGATGAAAAAAAAGGTATGTATGTAAATTAATATACGATAAAAAAAGTGTTAAAGACGTTAGTAAGTTAGTTCCTATATGGTAGAAAAATTGAAGACCTGAGGGCAACTACAAGACTTCTTCAATTTATACAATTTTTCAGGAAACACTTTAAACCGTTTTAAAATGCCTTATTATTGCACTAAAATAAAAACCAGATATCTCCATTTATATGAGAATATGAGATCATTGTATTTAACAGTCGGACTTGTCTGGTTGTTGCACTAAACGACGCAGTTTTTTTTCTTGATAATGTGCAATCAAAAACTTATTTTGGCCAAAATATGGAGATGTCTTATTATCGTTGTTGCCCTCAGGTCTTCGCAATTACTCTGTGATTATTGCATTATTGATATAGCGTATTAATATGTATATATATGTGATATATTGCTATATAATATCATTGATTAAGTTAACAATTGTTGATCATTGTAAATCATTGTTTACTTAATCAATGATAATATACAAAATGATACAATATATGTACACACATGTTTAAAAATTTTGTATGCAAATATATAGTGTGTATAAAATTATTTTTTTAGTTAAAAATGTATAAAATATTTAATTTTCAAAGCTAAGAATTAGAAATTTTAATAAATACACGTATTTTTTTAAATTCGGCTTACACGAATTATTTTAAATAATATTATATGGAATGCATTTTTAATAAATCTAATAGTTTAATTGGCAGTCAGTTATTTGTTATGACTAATTGTTTTTGTACCTACTAGTCCWACTATCATTAAACCATTTAAGTTTAAAAATACTAAATTAGGTACGAAAAATAATATAAAATATGCTTAATATACGATTATACGAATACAGAATATTTAATAGTGTTTCCTGTTAGGGATCGTAGTAAAGAAGCATACTACAGATTCGGGCACTAGTGCCCCAGCTCAATTAGTGTTCGGTAATACCATAGAACAATACGCCTCCGGTGTAGGTACCGTCAATTAACTGTTAGTGGTGAACGACGTTTCATTAAATTTACAATTTGACAGAAAGACTTTTCACAGACACCCAGCCTAACCTAACCGAGTACTACCGTTAGAAAAAGAAATTATGAAAATCGGTCCAGTAGAACTATATAGATATAAGTGTCATAAGAAATCGCCTGTCGTTTTAATTATATAATATTTAAAGGTATTAAACATTTGAAGTTCTTATATCTATTAATACATTATCGTCAAAATATTATGGAAAACTTAATATTTTATTTCAGGACACCGTATTTAGTATACCTATATGCCTATATATAGGTACATTCATTTTTTGAATGACAAGTAATATATTATATAGTAGTATACTTATTTGTAAAAACTATTTATATAAATCATTTTCATGAGAGTAATTATGTGAATTGAGGATTTTTTTCTATGGTCGGGGAAGTTTTTTTCCCGATGATTTTTATTCCGAGATTCAAAGGTAATTCTAAGCGGTTCGCACGGCGCACGGTCGACTCCCTACGGGGCGGACGCAATCGAAATTGAATACATTGACTTTTTTCATACTGCATTCTTTTGTTTCAGATAAAAAGTTCTGTTCAGAACTGCTTATAAATTGTTTTATTCATTATTTTCTGTTTAATTTTTTTGGTATCCTCGTATTTTTTCAATAGTAAGTACTCATCAAATGTTCTTTTTCTTTTCAGAAAATCAGAACTACCTACTATACAGGGTGATTGATTTATCATAAAACACTCATTATTTCAAAAAATATTGACTTTTTCAAAATATTTTTTTACATGGTTTCAAGTTGTTAAAAAACCAACGTTTTTATTAAAAAATTATATT